CCAGTTCTCTCATTGTAAAGTGCAGAAGTTGTTTTCCACAAGGTGCCTAATTGTCTTGTCTCCTTATTTTTCACTCGTTTTTTGCTTATTGAACCACGTGTTGTTTTTTACTTTTTATTTCTGCATTCGAAGTTTAGTGCATAATACATATCTGGTGCACATGCTTGCAAAACTAGTAAAATGCAGAGTGAGAAATGATTTTTGTTTACTTCTATTATTATTAATATCCACGATTTATATAGCGCTAGTAAGGGTTTGCGCAGCACTTTACAATATCATTGAATACAGGAGGGTTAGGAGGACTCAGAAGAGCTTACAATCTAGTAGTACCGTTTCTGCATGTCATCTTGTATATCTGCCCTTGTCCAAATGTTGATGCTTTCCATTGGAACATCCAGGTTCCCAGTTGTTTACCCCCCTTGAATGTGAATTCATCACCTCCCCCTCCATCGCTTTTCTCAGCTGTTTACCCTCCCCCGTGTGACCAATACTGACTTCCCATCTGCTGAACCTAAAATATCCCTCCATCGCATCCCTGACCCCTGTATCACTTTTCCTTTCTGTTGCCCTTGTTTGATATATTGCTTGTAGGATGTTTCTGGATTGATACTAAATTCCTAAAAAATAACATCATCATCTTATGAGCCGAGTCATTGTGTTAAAAGCCAAAAGATATCCCTGCGAGAGAGGCTAGAGACGGCACCATCAGGGCTCTGAATATAGTGCATGGCGCCCACTCACGGGGGAGCCCTCTGATGCTCCTGTCCACGGACGCGGAGAAGGCCTTCGACCGTGTTCGTTGGTCTTTCATGCATGCCGTTCTAGAACACATAGGGCTAGGCCCCAACATGACCTGTGGATAACTGCGCTATACTCTCGTCCCACCGCTGCGGTAAATGTTAACGAAACCCGCTCTGGATACTTCTCACTCAGTAACGGGACCAGACAGGGATGCCCTCTACCCCCCATCATATTTGTCCTCACCCTGGAACTACTCCTATGCACCGTGCGCTCTAGTCGGGATATCTCGGGCTTCAACAAACGCTCAGGAGAACACAAGGTGGCTGCCTTTGCAGATGACCTACTCTTTTTTTTCTGCCAGACCCCTTACAATCTCTTCCCCACCTGCTCCAGACCTTCGAACTATACGGTTACCTCTCTGATTTCAAGATAAATCTCTCTAAATCCGCGGTGATGGCCATTGCCCTACCAGCAACCACGGTCTCCCTGCTTAAAGCCCGCTTCCAGTTCCATTGGGCTACGGCCCACATTAAATATTTGGGGACCATGATCACGCCAGACCGTAATAATTTATACACTACCAACTATGCCCCCTTGCTTCTCCACATCAGCCAGGAACTCTCTCGCTGGAATGGGCTATATCTGACCTGGTTTAGCAGATGTAACTCAATCAAGATGACCATCCTCCCAAAAGTATTGTACACGATACAAGCCCTGCCCATTCACCTACCACCAGGGTTTTTCCATAAACTGCGTCGCTTGTGCACCACGTTTGTCTGGGCAGGGCACCACCCCCGGATCGGGAATCGGATACTTACGATGCAGAAGAAACATGGTGGGGTAGTTCTCCCTGACATCCATATGTATTACAGGGCTGTCCACCTTGCCAGGGTTGTGGACTGGACATGTAACCAAGAATGCAAACAATGGGTACGGATGGAGCTGGAAGATCACTGGACGCCCCTCGCGGGCCTGCGGTGGATTACAGCACCGCTCACCCTGGCCCTGATATCACACCCCACTATAGGAGCCACTCTGAGAACAGCCCGGGAGACATTTAAAAACACGTCCGTCTCCCCATTCCCCTCCCCCATGACCCCTGTGCTGGGAGATCCGGACTTCGGTCCTGGTATAGATCGCACGCTCTTAAAAGGCTTATACACGGCAAATAAGTTTCGCTTATTAGATCTATTTGAGAACAGGCACTCGCTCCCCCAATCCCCCATTAGCATCCCCCCCCCCCTTAGCGCCTGGACGGCCATGCAATTGCGGCACTTCCTAATGGCGATTCCCCACTCTGCGTTGCCCACTCGGGACCTAACGCCATTTGAAACCTTATGCTGACAAGGACAACCAGTAAAACATGTGATTGCAACTCTACGGGATGCTGATATCCCCCCCCACAGGACTACTGTCCCCCATTCTTGAAGAAATGGGAGGAGGAATTGGGCCAGGTATTTACGGGTGAGCAACGGCCAAAGCCCTGTTGGCCACCCACAAAGCCTCCATTGCCAACCAGACTCAAGAACAGGGATACAAGATTTTGTCCAGGTGTTACAGGGTCCCCACCCTCCTCCATAAGATCAACCCGCTAGTGCCTTACACATGTTGGAGGTGCGAAGCAGGGTGAGGATCGATGTCTGAAATTTTTTGTACTGCCCCAAGCTCAGACCCTTTTGAGATGCAGTCCGGGATACCATCGTGTAGGCCGTGGCAGCTGCCCTGGGAAACCGGGTTACTATTTCTATGCTTTCTTTCCTCCCCCCCCCCTGTTAGAGATGTAGTTCCTTCATACATTTACTTACTGATAAAACGATATAGGATAAACTCCCAGCGCTCTCCGGCTGAAGGAGTATACCTTGAAGTGAACAGGTAGAAGAGGCACCACCCCACCGTAACTGCGTATTTTGCTGTGATTTATATAGGCAGTGGAAGTGTTATTGTACCACGACAAATAAGGATGACATTGGTGATGTTTGTATTACACTGCATATAAACCTAGCTCAATGGATATGTGGATCGGATTCTACCTGTTAAAAACATTTTGGATTTGCGAGTATCAGACTCGCTGTACGAGCCTTGTGTGAATTAGGAATGTTTTTTGTTTTCTTTTGCATTACGCTATGGGCGGTACGCCGTCCCCACTGTATGTAAACACATTTTGTGATGATCACCAATAAAAAAATTTTTTTTTTTTAAAAGCCAAAAGATAGCGGCTCATTTCTAGCCCTGGTGTAGCATTCTTTTTTATTTATATATTAATTTGGACTGTTTTTTTTTTGTTTTATTCAGCTGCTGTCCTTTCAGCACTAGGAGGCCTACAAGGTCTGCCAGTTACTTCCGTATCCAAACCGTGTCCTACTGACTCACTTCTCTGCAGCCAGGGCTTTCTAATCGCGTTACATGCGTGTGTATAGCAACGTTCTGTACCAGATTTATGCAAGAGGTTTGCTTGACAAATATTGCTGAGCGGTGTGTAATAAACTGGGTTTACTGTGTTTCTCTTGCAGAACAAATATGAGCGAATACGGTTCAAGAAAGCAATGGCTTTTTTTCCCCAGTCAGAATGCAAAAAAAAAAAACCTTAGGCAACCTCTTCTGTTTTTGAAATATGAGTGAAATAGAGAAGCTTAATGTAAATTCTATCCTAGAGTTTGTTATTGCAAAAGTACAGTTTAGTTTGCGTGAGAACATATTCTGATTTATTGATGAGTAAACAGGATCCATACTGGGAAAGCTGTACCCAGAAATGATAGGCAGATGACACAGGACTATTCATCAGATCTTTTCCCTATGACTTACCATGACTTGTTCTGCAATGTGTCTGTGTGGGGGCAGCCATGTTGATAGAGGAATATGGCTTTGCTTTCTGATGTCAGAGCTGTCGTCTGATGACTGGTGATCTGATAACTGATGGGAAAGTAAAAACCACAAAAAAGACCTTGTGCCACTTCCCTAATTAATACACTAGAAAAGCAGCAGCTTGGATCAGTGTAATCAGACAAATACTAACAAATGTGGCAGAAAAGCCGCGCTATATACAGCTCATACTTGTATCAGTAGAAAGTGCAAACAAAAAACAATGTGTAATAATAAAAAGTATCCTCAATGGCTAAGGTTATACACATATATAATGTATACCGAAAAAAAAGTGCCAAGTGCTAGGATAATCAAATGATATACCCTCCAAAAATTATATAAAATGTATCCCAATAAAGTGCAAGCAGTGTGAAGAAAGTGCTCAAAAAGTGTCCAAAAGTACATATGTCTTCAGTATCCAGCAATATAAAAAGTACACACATTGGATCGAAAATGATAATCCCGAACTCCCGGGACCGTCACCAGAGGGAACCTTATGGAGTGCACCCCACCTTATTCTCAGACCCGTCCAGGTCTGTATGCGTTATTCCTCTGTTAAAGTCGGGTAGTGAAAGCACCCACCAGCGAACACCTCCTGGTAATTCCTCCTCTAATGAACTTCTTGAGACAGTCGTTTAGCAGAATGTGCGTCCCACCAGACCATATAATATAAAAATAGGAATACTCGTGCAGATGGTTTAACCCAACAAAAGCATGCTTTATTTACAGGAACTACTCACATTCCATAGATAAAACTCAAGCATCAGGGAAAGGTTTTTCACAGGCAGCAGATAACTGATTGGGAATATTGAAGAAGCAGCAGGAGAGGTGGAGGAAGCGCCGATCCATAGAATGAATGAAGCCAAAGCAGGGAGATGCATGCAGTGCGTATTCCTCTTCAGCAAGCAGTGACATCACAAATCAATCGCATTTGATTTCTATTGGAAAAACGCAAATCGCTGCCGTATGTGTAAACTGGACCATACACCGACATATGACGGTCAGGAAGTGCATTGCTATAGTGTGCATTGCACCAGAACAAATACCACTTCCATAAGTCAGACAATGGCAATATATTTTAATATCATGTGTGGCACCTTCTAGAAACAATCACTAGATATGAGCTTGTTCTGTTTTCTATAGCTGTGTTTCCATTCACATGGCTCTTACTCTTTGCCATGTGTTACACTCTCCTGTATGGCTTTTGTCAGATGTCACTGCATGGAGAAAGAAATTAATCTATTTGC